GGGAATCATTTTTTAATGAAATTAGCTCTTTTTGTTAGTGAGGAAAATAGGATAGAGTTTTAGACTGAATTCTTGTTACAGAACTTGGTCTGAGAAAAATGGTAGCCTTGATTTGGATATTTATTCCCATTTTTAGTCAGTTTCTTTCTCCATCGCATTCAGGAAGTGAACTGAAATAATGCCTGTAAATTTTTATGGTAAAGGAGCATCATAGTAAATAAAATAGCTGCTCTGTTTTAAATGCACTCTCAAATCCAAAATAATTTTACATTCACAACAGAGAAAAATGGATGTTTCTTGAGCTAGATCCTTCTACATTCCCAGTTATACAGTTTCAGTGAGCATTAAGTTATTAAAAACAAAGTGAGTAAATTTAGAGTGGGGGTCATGTTTTTGTATATTTTTAAGTTTGCTTTACAATTAACATTGCTTTGTTAATATAAAGATCTAAGTGATAGATTTGTTTTGTAAGCAATTCTATTTTTATATTTAAATCCCATATAAATTCCTGATTGTGATGTTCTTGTTAGTCTCCCTTTGAGTTTTGGGATTTTTTTTCTTTTCTCCGATAAAACTTACACTTACATACCTCACAAACAGCATCTTTTCAGATTTTTGTCTGATGACAAAATATTAAAATAGGAGAACTTCATTTTTTATCCTGAAAATGAAAAGGCAAAGGGAACCAAACTGCAGTCTTTCATTACCTATGGAGAAAGCTATAAAGAAGACAAAGCCAAACCCTTCCTAGAAGTGCTCAGCAAAGAACACAAGACAAAGGTCACCATTGCTTTGACTGGACAAGAAGAAGAAATTCTTCTTGGTGAGAATGGGTCAGTGCTGGAAGAGGTCACCCAGAGATACTAAGGAACCTCCATCCCCGTGGATTTTCAGAAGTCAATGGGGCGAACCTGTCTACAACCTGATCAGAGTCTGCAATTAGCTCTGCTCTGAGTGGGATATGGAACCGGGTGACTCCCAGGGGTCCTTTCCAATCTAAAATGTCCTAGTTGTCTACAAAAGAGTACTTAAAATAATGGTCATCTGATTTTTTAATGAGGAAAAAATCTTCAGAACACTCAACAGCCAGTACTTTCCATTAGAGTTAGTATAGCTGTAGGAATTGACATGATGTGTACCAGTTTTTGAAGTTTTAAGTTTATTTCTCTGCAGTGTTTACAGGGGCAAATCTTCCTTTAGATGCTGAGTTAGGTTGCCATATATTTTAGGATTAACACTTTAGATGAGACATCGGATATATTCAAACCTTCTCTCACCATCATTGTTATTTCCCTCTGGACACTTTTCCAGTGTATACCAGGTACCGTCAAATATAAGCACAACATTTTACACACAAGCTCTATTTACCTAAACTAATAGCCTGGTTCTGTAAACATTTGTCATTGTGCATGAGCAGTTCCATTCATTCTAGTGAATTATTCACCTTTTGCCTTAGTGGAAACCCTAGAAAAGTATTTGAAAATCTGCTTCTGTTGTTTTAAAAAAGCACAGAAGTATTAGCTTGCACTCATTCACTATATGTTATTCTTTGCAACAAAATCATGGGGTACTACCTCACTTGGTGTGTGAATCTGAGTTTCCTTTCCTAGCTGAACACTTTCACAAATATCTTAACGGAATTATATTCATTTTAGAGTCTTCCTCACATTCATCCACTATGTGAGTACTTTTCTAACTGTTTGTGTTCTCGTCTAGTTTTCTTTCAACCATCAGACATATCACCATTTGATTCAAAACACTAAACAGTATTCAGGTATCCAGAGCAAAGGCCCATGCTGCTTCCTTAACATGTCATACATCAAGTAAGTCTTAATAAAGGTAGAAAATATAAACAACTCTAAGGATTTCTGGATATATTTTTGTATTTATTGGATGTAAGTTAGCATTAAGCTACATTGTTATTTATCTTATCCCAAGCAAAATGACTACATACAACACCCCATGGTATAGAAAATGAGTGACCATATATTATTGTAAGATAATGTTATCCGATATATAATCATAGATTTCACAGAATAGATTTCATAGATTTCATAGATTTCATTCAGAACAGAAGTTTAATGATGAAACTATTTCATTCCTTAGTACACTGCATAAATGCATAGTGCCCTCTGTTTAAAGGATACCTAAACCAATGATTCAGTTAAAATATCATTTACATTTCCTGAGCAAATATGTTGTTGTTATGCTGTATCTATTTTTTAGCAATATGAATCGCATTTGTATTGTATTACATGAACGATGTAGTTGGACAAGATGAAATCTGCCAGGAATCTCAGTTTTTCTTTATAGTGAGCCTGCAAAGCTTACAGGGGAGAAAACAAATCCTCTTGAAAAATGATATTTTTTCTGCCATGCATCTCACCTGGACTTGGTTCTTCTGAATACAAGATAATTTTTTTTCATTTTTAGTAATAACATTGCACTTAATAAAAAAGCACATAAAGGAGGTTTTCAAACTGAGTTTGCTGTTACCACTCAAAAGATGCCTTCATTTCCTGCTCTACCACTCTGTGCTCTTCTTCCTTTTTTACTCTTGAATTAGCCTCCCAACACATTGTGACAGAGTTCAAGAAGTGTTTGCACAATACTCTCAGGCACATGGTGTGACTATTGGGGATGGTCCTGTGAAGGGCTAAGGGCTGGGCTTGATGATCTTTGTGGGTGCCTTCCAACTCAGCATATTCTCTGATTCTGTGATAATGACTACCCCAAAGACTTGTCCCAAAGTTTTCCCAGGGACTGAGGTGAGGTGGACTGGTCTTTTGTTTCCTGGACTTCTGTCTTTTTTAAAAGTGGACATAACATTTTCTTTTTATTGCTGTTTACTTTTGTATTTCAAAGTCACATAAAACTTTACTGTATTCGCTACCAGGTGAACTCATTTTGTGAAACCAAAATCAGTGCCAAACACAACCAGAGAGTTTCACAATGTTTGTAAACTGCCAGAATCCACGGTCCCATTGGGGTGCACCACTTCTCCTGCTTCTCCCATCAGAAGCTAAGGATCCTACCCTTTTACCCAGCATATCTGAATTATAACATTTGCAATACTTCAGAAGCCTTTCAAGACCCTTCCAAAATGCACACGTAAAAATTATATAAATCTGTATGTATTGTCAGTAAGACTGATAAACATGGGCTGCACCAGTCAGTTTTTTCTGCCTCTCATGCCATCAGTTCCAGCTCCAGATCACAGAACCTCCCTGCTGATTTTGCTGGTGCTGTCAGTCTTTCACCAGGTCTATGAAGAGAAGATAATTGCTGCTTCACTCTGTCTCTGGGCTGAGAAGAGGATTTGACATATTATGTGGTCTGGAAGGAAAATAAGATACAGAAAAAAAAAAAAGAGGGATGGAATATTTTAAAGAGAGTAAAATGTGTTTCCTCCCTTACTCCTCTTTTGGCAGACGAACCTGTGATGTCTAAGCTTTATACCCAGAGGCTGCATTTTAACCCCTGGTAAGTAGCTAACCTTTCCCAAACACCTTGCATTGCAAGTTTCTGTGAGAATGCTGCTGTGCTGCGCAATCCTGTGGCGAACTACATGAAGCCTGAGGACAAATGTGTGCCTACTTCTGCTCAAAAACGGCCCTGTCACGAATAAACCCTTCCAAATTACAAAAGGGAGCACATCACTCCTCCGGTACTCCTGTGCTGCGGGAGGCAGGTGGGTGGCCCACTGCCGGTCCCCAGCTTCCCCCAACCCAGAGAGGGAGGGATCTTGGCAAGAAAATAAGTTTCAACCAGTTTTAAATTAAAATGCAGAGGGGTCCGCGCCTCACCCCGCTGGGATTCGGAAAAGGGAGGGTGTGGCGGCGGCTCCAGGCCGGGCCCGTGGCGGCGCTTTCCCGTGCCGGCCCGCGGGGGCGCTTTGCTGAGCCCGGCGGTTCATGGGGGATGAGCGCGGCGGGCAGAGCGCGGCGCCTCCGCCGGCCCGGCAGCCCCGGCGGGCGGGTTGACGGGACAGCGGGGGCCAGCGCCTCCCGGGGGCTCGCCCCGCCGGGCTCAGGTACAAGCTCTGCGCCCCCGCCCGCGAAGAGTTCGCCCTTCGACTACGAAGGGCTCTGTGCCCCCGCGGAGGAGCGCGCCGCCCGTCGGCCCGGCCGTTCCTAAGGGCCGCTGGAGGGGAGCAGCTCCCGGGCCGTGCCCCCCAGGCGCGGTGCTTTCTCCCTCGCCGGTAGGGCAACGGGGGACAGGGCAAGCCCGCAGGAGAGCCTGCGTAGGCGGTGGTGGGCCCCGAGACGCTGCCCGGCCAGGCTGCCGCTGCCCCCGGCCGGCCCCACACCGCCTCCCGCGCTACCGGTCGGGCAAGGTGCGGGCGAGCGCCGGCGGCAGGTGGACCGGCGCGGCTGCCGGCGGGGAAGTTGAAAGACCTCGGAGAGTCGGGGCAGGGGGCTGAAAGCGGGGCGAGCGTGGCGCGGAGGAGGAGCGGGGAGAAGCCGCAACCGGGAGGAGCCGGAGGGAGATCTGCGCGGTGTGCGTCAGGCGCCTCCCGGGTAGAGGGAAAGAGGACCCGGGGTGGGGAGCAGCGGTTCCGTCAGCTTTACTGGTTGGCAGGGAGGGAAAGAGCTCCGCCGGCATCGGGGAGGCGGGGAGGCAGCGCGGTGACTGCTGCAGATCGGCTCATCCGCCGCCGGAGGATGCACGGGAGCGCCAGGGCGCCCGCACGGACGCCCTCCGCCGCGGACAGCGCTTGGGTAGGGCGCTGGGAGCGCCAGCGGGGATAGGGGAGCGCAGGGAAAGTTGTGCGGGCTGGGCATAGGGCTGCGTGCCCCGCCGGGGCAGGAGGGCACCGCCGGCATCAGCGCGGAGAAGTGGGATTGAAAAGCAGTTTCTGGTCTCGCTGCCGGCGAAGCTCATTTAAACCATCATTCCGGGAATGAAGGGGAACCGGGAAAGTAACTCGGAAAAGTGACTGGGATTAATTTTTTTTTATTCCTTCTTTTTTCTTCCTAATCCGAAAAGACCCGTTTAAAAGGAAAGCAAAAGCCTCCGTGCGCCCGCTGCTGGGAGAGGCACGGGAGAGGAGGGCACTGCACACCGGCACCCTTGCTGGGAGAGGGTGCGGGATCCTACCCTCGGCTCTCCCCCAGCACGATCGTGTACCAAAGCAGCTACTCATAGTAAACAGATTCATCGTGCGACAGAGCTCAGGAAGGTGACACAGAAGCAGAAACAGAAACTAACACTGAAAGGAAGAAAGGGGGGAAAAAAGACAGCGACTGCGAATTACTTCCAGAGAAAGTGGGTGGATGTTGTGCAGCAGCGACCTGGGATTTTAGGGGATGCACCCTTACATTTTGCTGCTCTCTAGTCCGAGCCTTCCTTCTCCGGTGGCAGAAAGCGGCTCTACTTGGTAGTAACAAAACAGGAGGAGGAATAAGCAGGGGGATTTCGCTCAGCAGTGCTTGCGGTGCCCTGCTGATCTGCTTCAGGGATTTTTTTTTTCTTTTCCTGGTGGATGTTGTTTTCTTGACCTTGATTTTGAGACGTCTTAGTTGCATCGCAGTTTTTGTGGTTTTATTTCCTTTGGCGAAAAGTGGAAAGGGGGAGGCTGGCTTCGGTGCTCAAAGTTGCAGTCGTTATTATTTTGGAGCCAGCATGTGCACCAACATAGTCTACGAGTGGCTGAAGACCCTACAGCTTCCTCAGTACGCGGAGTCCTTCGTCGATAATGGCTACGACGACCTGGAGGTCTGCAAGCAGATCGGCGACCCGGACCTGGATGCCATCGGCGTGGCCGTGCCCCACCACAGGCGCCGAATCCACGAAGCCGTGCGGCGGCTGAAGGAGGCGGACGAGACGCGGCGGGCTGTACTTCACGCTGGAGCCGCGCCGCCGCCGCGGCCGGCGCCCCCCGCGGCCGGGCGCTGCCCCGCCGGGCGGGGGGCCCGGAGGAGCCCCGGCGGGGGCGGCCCCAGTCCCGGCCCGGCGGACGGCGGGGGGCGGCCTGCGGCGAGGGGCTGGCCGCCTACCCCAGGCTGAAGCTGAAGATCATGATACGGGACAAGCTCATCCGCGACGGCATCAATCTGAGTAAACCCCCCTACTCCAACAAGGTAAGAGGGTCCCCGCCGGCCGCCACCCCGGGAGGAGCCGTGGCTGCCAGGTGCGGTGGGGCAGCGGAGCCGCTGGACGAATCCTGCCACAGGCAGCGGCTGGAGATGCGGGGTCTGGCAGGGCCTGGTCCCGCCTCTGCCGTGCGCTGGTGCTGAATGCCTCCAGTTGCCCAGTGGCATTTTCGGAGGGGAACCTGGTAAGGCTTGAGCACCAGCTAGGTCTGAAGAGGAGTGGGGCCAACAAAGGCTGGATCCACTAACACTTCTTGGCCTTGGTAGTATGGCATGGCGCTGTGTTTTGGTTTTACCTCTTTTTTTTTCATTAAGCAGTTCTTTTAGTTTAGCTTGAGGTGGGAAAACAGAAATTGACGGACTGGTCTTAATGATTTGGGGGTTTGTTTGATTGTTTTTTCTCTTCTATGAAACTTTTCCATTGTATTTAAGAGGGATGGCTTCTCTCATCTTTTGGTAGCGGTCATATTTTAGTGTCAGTTGCTGTTGGTGAAGTGGCTCCCGCAGCAAGTGGTAATCTGGCTGGAGAAACAACTCCTTCTGTTACCTGGATTTATTTACTGGAAGATGGTAGTGACTGGTGAATGTCAAAACTATTCATCAGCTGCTCCAGCACAGGTCAGTCAATCTCTGGTTGTGTCAGCACAGTCTGCTGAAAGTCCGGAAAAGTGCACATCTCAGAAGGGTACATTCTGTTTGATGAAGCGTCAGTGTTTACCTAATTCTTATTTTTGAAAAGGTTAAAATGTAAAATTCATGTGGTCTGGGAGTTAGAAGTCATTTTGTTGGAAATTTTTGGTAGGTTTCCTGATGAAAACAGAATACGGAAAATAAATGGAATAATAGTATTAAATTAATAACACCACGAAGAAGAATATAATTTTTGAAACAAACTGAGATATTATAATGCATGGTGGTTTCACAGTTCACAATGAAGTGCTTCAGAGTAGTTTGATGACTCAAGTTTGCCTGTATTTTCTTTAATGATTTGAAGTCTCATTTTTCAGAAAGACCGAGCAGTTGCAGTTGACTTTCAACTTGTGGGTACTTTTTACCTCTAAAAAGTTTATGTATATAAACTATTTTGTATATAAGCTGTTGGGGAGGGCTGCACCTCTGGGTTTACAGAAATGTGACAAATTAAAATAGAGAATAAGTAATCTGTCGTAGGGAACCTGTGTGTGTGAATAACATTATGGAGGTGCAGATAATAAGACCATAAATTTCAGGATTCCAATCTTTTAACATCTTGGTGATAGAGGCCCATTAATCACTTCTCAAGTACAGTACAGTTGTTTGGTTTGAGATATTTATTGTTCCCTTTTCCTGAAACTTCTGTTTAATGACATCAGGGACATTGTGCAAAATTTAACATTCATGAACATCTAGTCTAGGTACTGCATCTTCCAAAAGTTACTGTATCATTTTTGAGAGATTTTCCCTCCCCCCTCCTTTGAAGTGGTACATCATGAGACTGAAATTACCATTACATGTCTGATATAAAAGAAATTCTATGGAAGTTCTGGCTTATCAGTGTAGCTGCACCACATTACCCACCTCCACAGCTGCGTTTCACTCCTTCCTTTTGACTTCGTGGATGTTCTTAGTTACCAATTCCATCCCACCAAGTGGATCCTCTACCTTCTCTCTGAGGTATTTTAAAGATGTGTAGAAGTGGCACTTTGGGACACGGTTTAATGGTGGACTTGGAAGTGCTGAGTAATAGTTGGACTCAATGATCTTAAAAGTTTTTTCCAACTTAAATGATTCTATGATACTCTTCTACAGGAATTGTAAAATTTATAAGATGCTAGCATATGACATCAAGGCAATTCAAATCTTTGGCATTGATTTCTTCTTTCGCTCACCTTATTTTAATTTGATGAGTCTGATAATAGTGTAGATTAACTGTCAGGGCAAGCTCATGTTACACAGAAAGCATCACTCAGCTTTAATTAGTTTAAATTTAAATGCAATATTTTGAAATAGAAAGAGGAGCAAACTTTACTTTCTTAGTTTTAATTCAGGCTGTGGTGTCTGTATTTATTTTGGTTAATAAATGCATATAACATCATTTTTTCACAACAACAGAAAAAATTTTCTCCATCTCCTCAGTGTGAATCACTTCACATTGTATCATGTTATAAGAAATCATAAAACTGGCAAGATCTGAGTGTGTGTTGCTCAACATACGTTATTCTGAATGCCACCCTATACTGCAGCAATCCATCTCCAAAACAGCTTAAAGTGAATAGCAAAAGATCATGTCACTGTACATTATTTATTGGATGTCTTTTAGAGCAAGAAAGATGAAATACTGTATTCTTTCAATTGGGAAAGAGCCATATTATAACATATTATAACCCCAAAACAAGCCTAAAAAAACAACAAAGCCAAACTATAGAAAAAAGTGGCTATAATTTAAGCATTATATTTTTAATATAGAATATGCAGTGTACAGGCTTCTGCATGTCAAAAGAAACTGGATGTATTCTCTGCAGTACACAGAATTAAAGAATCAGCTTGAAATTTGTGTCAAGTTTTTTGGCATACATTTGTCACACATCCTTGTAATGTGGGTATTCTGAAGTGGGGCACTAGGCCACTGACCTGTTTGACATTTATTTGCATTTCTTGTTCTGCTGAGCTGCAATCTAGCCTTCTACTTCCCTCCATGACTTACATGGAGAATGCCATCTTCTGTTCCTCTTAATATCTGTGAATTGAAATTAGTATCCATAAAAGGAGGAGCATGCTGGTGTGTATATGTATGTGTGTATACATGCATTTCCCTTGTTTCCTGAAGAATACTTCTTGTGCTCAGCTATGTAGTTCTCAGGGAATTTTGGTGTTTTATTTTAAAACATCCCTGAGAACTGCAAGTGCTGCTCCTCTGGCTTGTTTGGAGCCTTTTACTAGCTGCAGAGCTAGCTTTTGCTAGCTACCTGAGCAGTAGACGTGTCAAAAGATCAAAAATGAATATTGGATGTGGCTGTAGAGATGTTAAAAGCATCCATTTGCTGTCCTTTGTTTTTGCTGTAGTTTCAGATGAAGGATGAAACAGAGTGGGCAGAATAGAAAAGTATTGGCAGAGTAAATTTTAGTTTAATTTAGTTTGATTACAGTCAGGCAGAAATGGCTTACAATTACTTAGCAGAGCTTAATATAAATCCCTTAAAGATGTGCAAACTTGGAATTGAAACCATGTGTGGGTGACTTCAGACGTAGAGAATTATCATAAGCCATCTTGATTGTTTCCATGGAGAATTAGAATGAGGCCTCACCTTCTCATATTGCATCTTATATATTTTTCAGGTATAAACCAAGGAACATAACTGTAACTGAGGAGAACTCTACAGAAGTCAGATTTTGTTCCATGTTGGTAATGCTCCTTAATACTCAAAGCCTTCTGTTTTAGTTTGTCTACCAAGCTTACTGTTGCTGGCTGGTAGCCTTAGAAGAAACTTCTTGTGGAGGTGATGGGATTGAATGCCCTTCAAACAAGAACCCACAGTCAAGTGAAACATCTTGTCGTGTCAAAACATCTAGCTGCTTAGAAAAATTGTCATTCATGGTTGTAATTCTGTCCTTAATTAGGAAGTTAATTATGCCCAATGTAGAAACACTGTTAATGGTCTTTTGCCACGTAGAAGTTTTGGGGGATGAATTGATGGTAGAAGGAAACCAAAATGAGCAGCCCCACTGCGTTTCAGTGAAGACGAATGAAGAAAAATGCAGCACTGACCTGAACCAGCCAGATCAGAGAAGTATAGCCTTAAACTCCATATGGCAATATTTCTTGCTTTGGTGGGCATATTCCAAAATGGATTATGTCCATGCAGTGTTTGACTGGGAGTAAAGTCTCTAAATGTCGCTGTGGAGCACCAACTTTGTCAATATAAAGAGAAGTAGGGTACCTTGTTGTGGAACATGCCAAGAGAAATTTAGTACTCTATTTATCCTGAATATAGATTAAGTGACATTTAATAGTTTACTGGAATTTCATTACTATTTCTAATTGAAATAAATGGCCTGACCTCTTTCTTGAGGAACTTTATTCAATTTTTCATCTACGGAGAATTGCAAGTACATTAAAAACATACATGCATTAAATCTCCCACACCAATTAAGATGATTTGCTTAGCCTTAGTAAAGATATTCTCATGTAGATTTCAGTATTTATTAGAGAGAATAAAACTGTAGTGTGACATATGTACATGACCTCATTGTCACTCACTATGCTGTTCATGATTATCAGCACACTTGGAAAACAAACACTAAAAATTCAGCTGCATTTGAGATCATAATCTCAAGAGTTCAAGCAGATGCAGAAGACTAAAAAGTCAGATCCAAGTGAGTATCTGCTTAAAGACCCAAACACATTTTTTTTAAGTTATGTGGTGATGATATAGCACAGATTTGTGATTCTGATTAAGTCTTTGTTTAATCCTTGCCACTACAAAATGAGGAATATTTCACATAAGTTAAGTGTTAAGAGGTAAAGATGCCAGAAATGCTGCTTTGAGATACACAGGTTCAAGCTGGGGCTGGATAATGTAATCAGTACTTTATCTACAGAAATGAATTCAGCGAATTAAAAATATTGTGCTTTGAAGAAATGGCAACACTCACCTATACTAGAATTAAACATGAACCTTTTTCTAAAGACCCGGCTGCTTTAGAATAACTGCATCAACTCTGATTAGCAGAGCGTTCTCAAATATGCCTTGGGGAAAGCTGCCTATTGACAGAAGTACTAGTGCATTAAGTAGTAACAATATTTTCATGGCAATAAATTAGCAAAGCTACAGGCAATGTTCAGGATGTGAAAAGGTATTTTATATAAGATACCACTGAATTTGCGTTTGACTTCATAACTCTGTTTTCTTTTAAAGAAAACGTAGCACCTCATATATTTGGCAGCTGTTTTAAAGTCCTGGTTTATTGAACTCACAGAAAACAAACTGGAAAAGATCTTCTTCCCATCAGACCATTAAGGCAAAATGTTGCAGAATATGAATAACACAGTACTGTATTATATTTGCATTTGAATTGTTCCTGAATATTTTAAAGTGTATTCAGTCTCCTCTGGAAATGTTGAATGCAAATCTTCATAGGTTTCATTATCTCTCAGTTTTGAGGGG